CTCCATTCCCGCCTTCACGAAACAGAGCCGATCTATGTACAATAGCGCAGCTAAATGCCCAGGCTGAATCGCGGAATCGGGAGCCGCTAGAGGAAATGTTGCGTAATTTTTGGACCCACATTCAGAATCAAAAAGTCGCATATAACAAGGGTTATGCAAAAAATAAAAGGGACATGCGTTTGAGCAGTACGTGCGAATCATGCGAATCGGCCGTGCGTCTGCTGAGTGCGGCCGATTACTCTTGCCGGACGATGCCGGCATCTGCATGAAGATTGCTTGAAGACAGCAGTGTCTAGCAGGTAAGGATCGTGCTGAGGCTGGAGTTGGGGTATGCAACTCAATGCGTTGCTCTTCCAGCTATGGAAACTGCTGCAGCTGCAAGGAACAAAAACGCACTCGGCTCACAGCTCCTTCCCTCAAGCAGCAAGGTTACGCTAAACAACATGAACAACTTTGCCTGCACTGCCGCGATTTCGCTGCTTTTTTTCGAAACGATGCTTCCGAGAGCCGCTGTCCAGAAGCGAGCAGCGTTGATGATGTCACCTGTTTCACTCGAGAGTTCCCCATGTTCGCCACACGCTCGCCACGCAAAGACAAGCCGATGCCACGTTCCTGCTGCCGGCGCATAGCGGCAGAGACTGGTCTAAGGTCCTGGGACAACAGCTCATCATAACTGCTTTCGGTTCCCAGAAGCAAAAGCGGAAGAAACCGACGGCCTGCAGCAGTTGCTCTAGAATCTGCGCAGCGCTAGCCTAGCATCTTTCAGGTGCTCTTCTAGTCAGGCACGTATCACCGAGGAGCATGCGAATCTCAGCAAGTGCGGCAGAGTCACCTGCCGGATCTGCAGGTTCAAGAGCCAGTTTTTTTAGATCGTCTCAACTCAGTATGACGCCCAATGGGTTAGTTGTGTCCACGCATCCACCCCTCGCCAGTCGCTCCGGTCAAACCTGGGCTTCAGCACAAGAGCTCAGGTGCTCCTCACAGAAAGCAGGCAAGTGGCGGATTGTAGTCCAAGTGCGGACTGTGAGGGTCAGATCCTGCCAAACCCCATAGAGATGTGCAAAGCTTCAGGCTCCGCATGCTCCGCACCAGCTCCTCCACCAGCACTGGGGAGCTTGTGATCAAAATCCTGAGACAAAAAGATCTTGGCAAACCCTCGCTCTGGACTACCTTTTGCCTCTATGGACGTGAGGCCGCGGTAGATGTAGCTTGCCAGCTGAGGGTTCGCTGGCCTTGCTAGGTGAGTTGCAGCACTTTCAAGCTGCATGGGTGCATTGCATGGCGTCATGGCTTCAGGAGAAGACACGAACAGCGGCACAGACAGGGCATACAGTTCGTAGAGTCGCATCTGCGACCTGGGCTTCGCTTTGGGCGCCATGCTTGGGACGCCCTGCCACCGAAACTTCCGGAACAGGCTCTCACACATCATATGGATATATGACTGCTGCCTCAAAGGATGCAATGGCCTTCCCAAGCAAGTTGATGCTGTCGGACAAGCTCTGGCTCGCTCAGTGCTTTAGCGCCTCTGATGACGCATCTGGAAGCTCCTGAATCACACGTTTGCGTGAACACAAATACACACATGCAAACATGCAAACTGCGACGCAAACAAATGCGCTAATGAAATGACAGCATGGCCTCGCTTGGAAGGAAGCGCAACTCACTTGCCTTCAGAAGCCCGCCCTGCCAGAAGCCAAGCAGCTCTTGCTTTGCGGTGATTACCTCTCTCATCCTCTCTCCTTGTTGCCTTCGTGGAAAGGTCCTGGATGTTTAGCCGAGCCTGTCGGCAAAACCAACCTATCCATCGTCTCTCGCCATGTGGTCCCTACTGATCTTACCGCTGAGGTTCGCACCAGAGTATTGAGGATGCAGGCAGCGTTCCAGAACATGCTGGGCTGCCGGACCACGACTACCTTGTCGTGTGGGCTGCCGGAAACCGGGAAAACAGTCGAAAAATGCAGTCGAGACTGCCTGTCCAGGTGCTGCAGGCCCTCGCCTTCTTGCCCACAACGCAGGGCTCACCACATTTGCAGGGTGTTTGATCCCCATGAGGCGTTGACTTGGGGCCCATGTAGGCTGCCAGCGGACGTGCAGCCAGAATTCGCTGGGCACCGGTCTAGCAAGGCCGTGCATTCCAACAACAAGGCAAAATTAAACCGAGCCTGAAAGCGAATCTGCTCTGCCAAGAACCTGACAAGGGGCAGCTCTTGGCCTCAAGCGGACATAGAAAAAGATCGACCTTGTGTTGGCAACAGCCAAGAACGGCGCGTGACCTGGGACCGCACAGAACTGCATGGATCTGCATAGCATTGCACAGCAGTGTTCATCTGTTGGCAGACGAGCAGCGTCCAGGGAGGTCGTCGCGGGTCAGGCTCAGGAAGTCTGCCAGCCAGCCCTGAGCAGCTGCTGCTGGAAGATACCTCAAAAGCTCAAAAGACTTCGCGAAACCGAAACAAGCAAACGCTCACGCAGTCAGCGCACGCAGTCAGTGGATTTGCAAAGTAGCCGATGAGGGGACGGTCTAAAAAGGTCTTGCCTTACCAGATGGCTTCAATTTGCACATGCATAGGTGTAACCTTTTGCATTGGACAGCAACACCACTGAGTTTAGGTCCCAGCACGTTGCAAAGGAACGCTGGCTCTGTGCAGAGAAATACATCAGCTCCTGGGCAGCTGACAGTTTCTGAGATCTTGGGGGTATGATGGGTTGAAAAAGTTTGAGTGGGCAAATCCAAGCTCATGACTCTCGATCCGCAGATCCGTACCATCCACAACGTCATCCGCTGAAGCCTTAGAATGGCCTGGCTTTGCAGACAAATGACATGCGCGAGAGGTTCAGCTGTAATGCTGCCTCCAAACAGCAACTTGAAATCCTCGAGAAAGGCTGCGGGATCCTGAGATCGTCTCAGAAGGCGTTTGATGCACGCCGTGATTTAGCAGTGGCACAGGATGCACCTGCTGATACCTGTTCAATCGGATTCCAGCCTCGATCAACGGAGAAGGAAGCTTGGAGATTGGCAGCGTGGCCTCAGACAACTGACAGACGACAATCAGCTTCGGTGAAGATCCCAAGGAAGCTAAAAGTTGAAAAAGCGGCTCTGGTGAAATGCTTCTGGTTCAGGCCTTCAGCTCAGGCATGACAAGACAGCTCACATCGCAAGCATGGCGCAAGGAGCAGACGGAGAAGCCGCGTGTCCCAGCCACAAAGATCACCGTATGCGTTGAAATCCTTGCAAACGCTGGCGGCCCGAACCTTGCAGCTCAGATGTTGTGTAATCCCTCCCTCCTTCCCCCATCCCGCCTGCACCGCGTCGCCCAGTCCCGGCTCCAGGACATGAATAGCGAAGCGAAACTTTTGCCTTGCTCTGTCAATCAAACCTATGCCAAGTACCAGTGAAATTGTTGCCCTAATTTTGAATGTCCGGCAGTCGCCCATAAAGAAGCTCTCTTTGTCGCGAGAACGTGTCTGCTCTTGAGTTGTTGGTGGCCATGTGCCCAAAAAGACGGAGAACAAGTGGAAAAATGCATGTCCATCTGAGAGAACTGGGAGCACTGGCTCTGAGAGGAACTCCTTCCATAAGGAGACCAGCTCCAGCCTCAGAGATAACACGAGGAGATGGACGAGAAGGAAGAAGAGAAGGCAGAGACCTAGAAGAAATGAAGATAGAGAAGACCAGAGAGCCCGCTTTCTTGTCTGGGGCTCTGGCAGCAACGTTGTGTGATAGCCGATGGCCTGAGGAGAGAGTCAGGATTCGGATGCTTGCTAAGCGCAAGTTCGCAGAGGCTCGCCGTGACAGAGAGTTCTTGCGCCACTTCGCCATAGCCATAGCCTGGCTGAGATTAAGGCACTCAGCAGTGGATATTCACTTTCTCACACCTTCAAGGCCAACGTCAGCCAATGGCCTAGGACGACCAAGCAGCAAAATACGTAACATGCACACGTTTGCGACAATGGGTGCCACACCTCATGGGATCGTCAGCGACGTATGCTGCCTGCCTTCCATATGAATATTGTTTGGTTTGCTTTTACCCTTCAGAAGTGGCGGGCATTGCCTACCAGGTCCATGAGGAGGGTACAAGTGCTTCAGGACGCTCTCATGAGACAGCCTGCAAGTTTGATTCTTACCATTGCTGCCTAACTCGGCTTCTAACCATGCCCTGAGACCCCTGCGGCCATCCGGAGGAGTCCAGGAAGTCGATGGAGTTTGCTCGGCTCATGAGGAAGTTATGGAGCCTTACGGCACAAGCGGCTTCAACAGAAACATGAGCTATTTCAAGCAAAGGCTCCTACAACTGCAAGGCATGTGCTCGACCCTCCAAAATACCAGGAATAGAATCGTCTGTATTCCTCCAGGCATGTAAAAGAGAGGTTGCTAATATGCACAATGTCTTCATGTTGAATCGAGATAATGCAGGCAGCCTGCTTCGATACGCGATGGCGGCCATGTATCCATAATAGCCTTCCGTGCGGGCCGGACACAGCATGAGAAGAATGGAGCTCTGCAATCAGGCGACAGAAATCTTGCACTGCATAACTTCGACTTTCACGCTCTTCAGGTGTCCTTGGCAGAGATGGCAAAGACATGACCCCGCATCTTGTGATATGATATCCGCGAGTGATATGCACATATTATGCACATCACGCCCAACATGCCGAGAGACCAGCCATCTGTGCCCGTGCTTAAGCTGAATATGCTTTCTTCATGGGACTGCGGCAGGAAGGCTTGATGCGCAGATTGCTGCAAAAGTGCAATCCCATACATCTTGACCGGAGTTCTACACAACCTTTGTCATGTCATAGAATCCCTAGCAAAGCTTGGCCACTGAAGCTTTGCACGATGGTCCTGTCGAGAAGGCTCCCACTCCGCATCTGCTGAACTGGCATTGGGGTCGCCTTGCGAATTTCGGTTTGGCTTGGCGGGACGAGAAAAATCATTCGAACTTGCAGGCTCCGGCTGCAGGCGTGTGGCCCTAACTCGTGTCCCCGTAGGAATGTTTTTTGGCAGAAGTTACAAGCAGTCTTCCAACGCACCTGCCTGACAAAGCCTACATTGCCCTTGAGTATTTCAAGATTGAACACACCTTGAACTCGAAGCTGACGTTGTCTCGTCATTCCGGACTCCGTTCAGGACCCTCTACTCACTAGCTTCACGTTTCAGCTGCCAACCTTACAACAGTCGCCCAACCGAAAGCAACAGTGCCTCGCCATAACCAGCGATGTTTGAATGGGCACCAGCCACACTGAGCCGCAGGCACAGGAAGAACAGGTGGTCAGTGTTCTGAACCCGCAAAAAACTCGGTTCAATCCTGGAATTTGGCTGTATGCCTTTGACAAACCCAGAGTTGACACAGCGGAATCATGTTGTACCAACAGACTACAAGGAACTCTTCGTGCTGGGTTCTTGAGTGCCGCTTGTCTGCCATTTCACGCCTGTGGGTCTTTCCTGCGCACATTTCACTCGTTGAGATCTGCAAGATTCACAGGCTGCTGAAAACGATGGTTTGTTGTAAAGACCCAGTTGCGCCCCCCATTAAAGCCCAGATTGTTTGGGAGTACATACTTTGGGATTTTCATCAGAGCCCAGATCTCTTGGGAGTGCGTATTTTGGGACGTTCAAAGGCCCAAATTCCTAAAATGCCCCCCCATCAAAATCAAAGCCTAGATCGCTTGGGGACCAGCATTTTGGAACTTTCAAGGGCCCAAACTCCCAAAATGCCGTACTCCCCGCTGCTCACCCCATCACAGCTCAGACCAATCCCCCTGTCAGAGCCCAACTTGCGTGGGAGCACGTATTTTGGTACTTTCAGGGGCCCACGCTCCCAAAATGTTTGCTCGCAGCTGCTCCCACCATCAAAGCGCAGATCGCTTGGGGACACGCATTTTGGACTTTCAAGGGCCCAAACGAAGACCCCAAACAGCTGGATGGAAAACATGCGAATGAAGTTGTAGTTGGCCTTCAGCGCTTATCAGATTAGATTACGAAGAAAACCAGAGTAGCAACAGTTCAGTAACCACAGAAAGCATCTTTACATACCCATGTAAATGTATTGGCGGCTGGATTTATCCTTTTCTTGGTTTTGATTGCAGAGGCTTGAACATTATGGAATGATGGTCTGATTATTGCGTTGCTGGGTTTTAATTTGAGGGCGTCGGGCAAACAATACCAGCATTGCAAGACATTATTGCAGCTCAAGGTGTTTTGAGTCTCGAAGGTTTGGGGTCCGGGTTTAGTTCTTAGGGATCAAGATTTTGGAAGGCGTGCTTCAATGTGGCAGGTTTTTGGGTTTAGGGTGCAGGGTTGATGGATAAGGATGGAAGCGTTTTAAGGCCGGCCTTGAGTTGGCAAATCTAGCTCCGCCCATTGCCGCCCGTCCAGCCGCTGCTGCTGATCCAGCCGCCGCGGGCCCACAGCCAGCCCACAGGTCCACGCCGCGTGCGGCCTTACAAGGAAAGAACCCAAACGTTTCCTTGCGGCTTTCGGCTGGATTGCCCCCTGCCTGTGGGCCCGTGGGGGCCCATGGCGGGCCGACGGAAGAAAAGATGAAAGCAGCAGCTGGATGGGTGGCACGGACCAACCGCCGTGGACTTGTAAGCGCGGGGCGGAGCCCGCGAGTTCTGTTCATGGCGCGCAGCTCGAACCTCCGCGGTGGGCTGGCGCAAGAAAGCGGACCTGTCGCGTGTGAAAACCGCCGCGTTCTTCTTTTCTTCTGAGGGGGGGACCAGAAAAATTTCCTGCTTGGGGAAAAATGTGTAGTCCCAGCTGCTCCCCGCATCAAAGCCCAGATTGCTTGGGAGCATGTTTTTTGGGACTTTCCAGGGTCCTCCAAAATTCATCTTGCCTTCAGGCTCTTGTCTGCCTGCAGCACTTCTACAGACTTAAATACGTGCTCAGAACTTGTCGGGATCACCCCAAATCCTAGTCATTGTGAGAAGCAACCTGTCGTAGTAAGAAACAACATGTCATGGTACCAGCACCCTATTAATCAAGATTGAGCAAAAGGCCCAAATTGCGTTTGTTTCCCACTCTGTCCCAAAATAGTGGCACCAGATTGGGAGGAACCTTTTAAAACCTCTCTCAACCTGGCCCACGTCCCAGAAGTCAACAGGCATTGAGAAACGAGAATGAACTTCATCAGACACTGCGGAAATGCTGACTATCCCCTCAGTCTGCCAAAGAGCATCAGCATGGCAGGAGACCCTTTCAGCCTCCGTATGCAGATCTGGCCCATGGGCAAGGCGCCCCCCGCCAGAGTCACCGCACACAAAGAGGCCAATAAGCATCCCACACCCACCCGAAAATCAGCCATCACCAAATCGTCCACGGGTGACGTCGTCACCAGTTGGAGCCCGGCCAACACTGAGTGGGCAATTTAAGGCGCCTGGATCATGCCCATGCTGGCATACTTGCAGAATCTGCTGAAGATATGTCACAGCATGCGGCAAGTGTTGGCAAGGTATTCCACTATGCGATGCTGAGGCAACATCTCGGCCATCCGAGCGGTTGAGCAACTCTGAGCCTAATGACTTTGCAGAAAAGCATGGAGACGCGGTGATCTGTATCGATGAATGAGGCAGGGAACGATGCATGTTACAGTTCTCAAAACACTTCAACTGAAGGACAACACAAACATGACGTCTTTGTGAAGGCTTGACCCCGCTCACGAAACTCCAAGTGTTCATGCACAGCAGTTGTCTCAAAACAAGTTAATAAGCACTTTTCAAGCTCCTGCAGTCCTTTCCAGCAGGCCTTGCGACCACCACCATACGTCTTCCTGAACAACTACGCACAGAAAGCAACGCATTCGCGGACAGAAGCGCACAAACAACACCCAAAAAGATGCATTGCCTGGTAGTCTCCATCAAGCACTTCCAGCACTGTCTTGAATTTGGTCCTCCAATTTCAGGTGGACCGGGCAGAAGGCCCGGCCTGAACGTTTGAGGACACTGCCACTCATCATTGTGACGGCAGTCAAAGTACCATGGCACACGCCATCCCAATGGCGTCGCGACCTGAATTGGAAGTGCTGTGAAAGTGGCGCTCATATTGGACAATATTGGACATATACGCTCTGTAGCATCTTGTACCTGAAATGCAGCTAGCAAAACACGGCTCGGCCATGGCGTCATGCAATTTCTCTCTAGGCATCCTCCTGTAAAACAAGTCATCATGGTCCATGGCTCTTCAAGGTGCGAAGTGCGAAGTTTGCAGATAAAGGCCTGCACCGCAGACTGGCTTGCAAGCATGTGAGTCTCCATGCTGAGTGTCAAAATGATTTAATGCAGTAAGCTTCTCCTGTCTTGAGCACTGCAAGCTTGGCGACTGTAAAACGGATCAACGGATCCATCAACATGCTACCGAACAGATCATTGTCGCAACACATGTCGTTCAGAATCACAACCACTGATGGCAACACTGCTAGAAAAGGCTTAGACTTCATCCAGGTTTTCGGCGTGCAGCAGTGTGTCAATTGGATGTATATGATGTATGTACAGATATCCACACAACACGAACCTTCGAAGAAGGCATGCTGGATCATACTAGCAAGCTTTGCACGAGATTTGAAAGTCTGTGCGAGGGTATTCAAACTAGAATGCCACGCAGGCATGAAACATTGAGCGCGCGAGGGCCATGCAAACAGTAATTTGAATCAGTTCACATTGCATCCACACTTCCAGATTTGAGGGGAATGAGGGGAAATCAAGATGCTGCGAGAGAATGCAAGCATCTTAATGCATATCGGTCTCTGGAAGTGCGAAGCCGAACAAGGTGCGTACAGCAAGCTTGCACGTGCGGGACGGAAGCTGACGCACAACACTCGATCTGCTAGAGATTGCTGGGCATGAACTGGATTAACCCATCCGCAAACTTGAAAGATGTTGCCGAAATCTGAAAAACTGCGAAGACAAGAGCAAGTTTAATAAGATGAGCCCAGCAAAGCATCCATCAGGTCAAGCTGGTCGGCTGCGAACACTGTAGCCTCAAAAGTGTCAGATAAAAATCCTGACATTCTGCTGCAAGCCTTCGAGCCAATCAAAAGGGCCAGCCACGTAGATTGTTTGCTAACTGCAAGGGGCAAGTGACAAGGATGGCATTTGCCCGAAGGCTGCCTACGAGTGACAACTTCAAGTGTCAAGCTCTGGCCACGTCCGGCTCAAGCCCACTCGCTGCAACACTTGCACAAAGGATGCATCGAATCTGCTGCTCAAAGTTGTTTACAGTCACAAGTCGCTCACGTTCTCTTACAAAATTTGTTCGGCTGAGGTCTGAAGTTTGAAATGTGCGTTGCGGTGGCAACAAAGTGGAGAAGCTTGCTGCTGAGATTTCCGGTTCTCAGGCGACTGATGCGACTGAGCCATGTGGAGTTGTTCCACAAATCTCTCCAAGCTCGCAATCCTGTCATCTGTCAAAGGTAGCTACCCAAGAGGCATAAACAAGTACTAAACCCCAGACCAGAAGCACTGGAATTCAAACAATGCTAACTTCGTGCAGATTCATACATCTCTGCCAGCGCTGGATGCCTCCGCTTGATGAGGCTGACATCAGCACCCGCCTTATTATGCAAAAAATCGCTTTCTGCTCTTCCCCCGAAACTACTGGACTATGATTGTCCATCCCACCGCCTTGACCCCCACAACACTCCGCCCAGAACCTGCTACTGGAGTCTACCTCCTACATGGGCTTGATCGAACACCGACCAGGTGACCAGGTGATTAACCATAGCGACGTCGACCAGACAAGAATCTATCTGCGGCATGAGTGGTGTTGAACGAATATCAACGAATCGTTTCCAGATAGTACCTACATGTACTTACAATAATATCGGGAGAATTAGTTGTCCCTCCACCTGGCTGAGGAAGGCAACTGCCTGGACGAAGGGCAGCTGTGCCTTTTCATCCCCACAGCCAGGCAGGTAGCCTTTTTTATTCCAATCATTCCAAGCAAGCAGTCAACGACTAGCTCAGCGACTACCACCCACAGCAAGACTCATTAGACTCATTAAAGGACCTGTTTTGCTGGCAACAAACTGGTTTCGCTTCTTCAATACACTGCACACATTGGTGAGAAGGCCCTGCAGGAAACGGGAGCCAGCACAAAAAGCTTGCCATGGCCGGAGAGGAGTCTTTGCATCTTGTCTTCTAAGGTTGTCAGCACAATTGGGTCTTCGTTTCTCACTTCAACATACCTAGGGCTTTGGAGGGGTGCTGGAACCTCATATGAGTGGTATCAAGAAGGAAATTGGGCGGCCCGACGGGCTTCATGATGCTCATGATGCTGGTTCTTGGGGTCTGCTGGGGACAAGTACTGGGGCGCTGCCCGCCCGCATGTTTTTGCAAGTGATGGGGTTCCAGGCCCCAATCACCGCAAAGGGGGAGACCCACATCTTGAGGAGAGAGTCTATGAAAGGCGCACGACACTACTACCAAGCAGGCAAAGTGCGGGCAAACCCTTCTATTTCCGCAGCAACAAATCTGGCTAAAGATCTGCGGTACATGCACAGCAGAAGTTGAGTGCCGATGCACATGCCAGCTTTCCACATACCCTTTCATATTTTTGTGGCTTTGAGGGGCTATAAAAGGAAAGCTTACATGGTCATGAAGAAGGTCACCAGAATCGGCACTCTCTCCTCGAGAAGGCTGTGCTGGTTATGCAAAAAGGCATACTCAGTACACCTTTCCAGGCATCGCCATTGGCATTGCCCCGATGGCAAAGTAAAGCGACCAAAAGACGTCCGTAAAGGAAGCTCAGCCGCAGCAAAACGAGGTTCCGGTGTTCGGAAGCTCCGAGCGTCGTAGGTAACGTTGACTCCCATGCCTTCGACCTGGTGCCAGCCACGAAATTCCCCGAGTCGAAGAAGGTGGCCCATCACGGGCTCGTTCCCAACCAAGGGCTCTCCAGGAATCTTGCAGGTAGCCGGCGTGGTGGACGATTTTGATTTCCCCTTCGACACCTGCTTGAGGAAGTTCGGGCTGTACTCCACTGACCAATGCCCAGCAGCAAGGATCTTCCTCAGGTGAGTCGGGTCCATCTCTTTGGTTCCTGCGTCGACCCACATATTCTCCGTTGAAGTCCACCTCAAGGTGGTGTTGGAACGTCGAAGAACAGCTCTCAACCAAGCGACTGTGAAAGCAAGAGACTTCTGGCTGCCAAAGGAAGACGTGTCAGAGTTGGCCTTGTCATGGACGTCCTTAGCGTCCACCACCACAGTCAGCCCGACGCTGTTCAAGCTCCGGTCCACGTCCTGCCGCTGCAGCGAAAGACCACGAAGGGAAGCCATGAACCCTCTGCACAGCTGCCCGACATCGAAGGCCTCTTCGGCTCCGAGTGTCTCTGCTGAGTACGAGGATCTACACACCCTCGGTATGCGATGGCTCCTCATGTCCAAGACGTTGAAGGACCCCGGGCGTCCACGCATCAGCTCCTCGTCCGCCAGCAGCACGTAGTAGCAAGACTGGCTGAACACCTTCTCCAAAGGAGTGGCTGCTGCTGAGCCCGTCACTGTGACGTTGCCGAGAGAAGAGTCAGTGACCACCATCACGCCTCCTGCAAAGGGGTTGACCGGGCGAAAGACCAGCTCAAAGTCCTTGGTCGCCTTGAGCTCTCTGCACAACACGTTTGCCCTGAGCAATGTGCTCACCGTCGGCTTCTCGCCTTGAAGAGACGACACTTGAAAGGCCATGTCGAACCTCACCTGGGCAACAAGCCACTGGAAGCTTCCAAGAAGAGCTCGTAGCTGTTTGTGCTCAGAAGGAGACAGCGCAGAGTCCAGCTCGGCGCGGCGAGGCTTCGGCGCGTAGACCGCCTTGAGGCTGTCATGGTACTCCACCATGCTCAGTGTGATCGCGCCGTCCTTTCGGCGGTGGAAACGTTTTCCACACCAAACGAAGCTGTCTCGTTGAACTTCACGGAAACCAAGCATCTCGCCAACACGCATCAGCAGCTTCTCCGCGTAGCTGTCGCCACCGAAAAGCAGGTTGTCTACGTCTACGTGGCTCACGATGACGCCGCGAAGTTTCTTGGGATCAACTTTGTCCCACAGGAACCAGCAAGCCTGGTCAATTGACGACCGGACCCACCCCAGGCTCTCGAGACTCTTGGCCAGCTTCAGCCACCATTGGCGCGGCGCATCGGCGAGTCCGAATACGCCTTTGAGTACCTTTGCCAAACACGCGGTTGGCAACGGTATTGGCGGAGAGGTCTTGCTGTGAGTATGAGTTATGCACATTCTCGAGACACAAATTTGTCTCCCTTTAGAAATGCACTTTTGACGTCACAGGATAGAAGGCTCCAAGCGGCTCCCACCCAGGCGGTCATACTCAAAAGCAAATGCTGGCTCAAACGTTGACCGTGTGGGCGCATCCCTCCGGATTTGGCCATCCAGGTTCGCGCGATCTTTAAATCCAGGGACGACGAGACGCGCGGAAGGCTCAGGAGGAAGTGGACAGCTGTCGGTCCTGACGTCGTCATTCTTATCGGCGCAGACAAATCGCGGAGTGAAAATTCGGTCTAATTCTCCGGCCTTTGCTAGCCGCTTGCGAACTGCCAGACTTTCTTCCAGGGACAAGACTTTGACGGCATCATTCTCCACGTAAGCGGCCCATCCTTTCTCAGCCGCCTTGCTTTAAAGTTGTCTTTCCCCAGCGCGCATCTTCGACGTCGACCACTGGTACTCTTTGCGAGCCAGAGCCGCATTGACCTCGTTCAGATCGCCAGGAACTCCGGTTGGAAGAGGAGCGCCGAGAGCTTGAAGCGTCTCCATTTGAGATCTCGAAGGCATAGACCAGCGTCCATCCCAAGAGCCGTGGTCCATCTCTGCGTGTCCTGCTCAGCTGAGGCTTGCAGATGCAGCAGGGGATGAAGCGTGTCGACGTTCAGGACCTTGTGAGCTAGATCCTCAAGTGTCAAGTGAAGGCCCTCGAAGCTACGGTTCACAGCAAGCACGGAAAGATCATGCCCAGGAGCACTGCCGTCGCCTCGAGATACATCTAAAGGCCCCCCACGAGGTTCAGAAGAAGGTCGAGGTAGCGCACGAACTTCCGCGAGATCGTCACCTCCTATAGAACTGCAAGACCTACAGGTACCTCAGAAGGAGCCCCCGCCGGTTCAGAAGAAGGTTGAGGTAGCGCAGGAACTTCCGACAGCGTCCGCCGCAACGATGTTGGTGGCTCCGACGCCGCCATGCTCGATCTGCAACTGTGGCGCCGCGACTGTCCTGCTCCGGGCTCAGACTCACTCCTCCGCTTCACGCCACGCTCCAAAGCCGACCGCTGCTTCGTAGCGCGCAGCTCGGCCGCAAAGTCCGCACGTAGATCAGCCTTGAAAGGTTCACCTCGCTCGATTTAATAGCGCGCTGCACAACAGGTCGGTCAAGTAGTCCAGAGCTTGCCGGCAAAGGTGTTGAAGGACCTTCGAACAGGCGCGCCACAGGAGTTCCAGGGACCGCGGTTGGTGGTGACGAGTTGCTGACGTCGGCCGTCGTCTGCGAAGGAGTCGGCGCCGCACCAAGGTCCGCAGCCTCGTCCACTGCAGTCACAGGTTCAATGTCGTCCTCAGGACTCAAGTCCACGGCCGGGGCCGGGCGAAGTCGCTCCGTGAGCTCTCGAATAGCCAGACGAGGCTGCACGAACGTGCTCCAAAGCACACTTGGTGACCTGACCCTTGAAGCTCAAGAAAGCGTTGACCGGAGTGCCGCCGCCAAGGCCACCCTCCAGGCACAGTAAAATCGCCGGCCCATGCCAGCGTTTCAGCTCCAAGTCCAAGCGTCGTCGCCGACTCGAAATGGACATGTCGGGGTCTCCTCGCTTCGAAGTTGTTTTGGTCGACCTCCAAAAGTACACGGTGTCGCCAGGAACACGGGGATGATGATGACGATGATGATGATGATGATGTTGTTGTTGTTCAGGGTGCGCGCAACCTAGCACGGGTTTTCACCCACCCTAGCACAAACCACACAAAGAGAAATCGATCACCAGGAGGAAGTCGCCCTACAGGGCACAGACATGCGTCCACATCCAAGGCTCTTCAGTGCAGATCACAATCTCCAAGGCCGCGGTGGCCAACCCTACACATGCACAGGAGTACCTGTACCTAATCAACTCCATACCCATAACATACAACACGGCGCGACCTCACAGGCGAGGTCTGAACCTGAAAGTACGGGGATTACGGGCCTACAAGCGGCAGCATGGGAACCTGACCCGGGACCTGCCGTTGGATCAGGGGGCTTATGGAAAACAAGTGCACCCAAAACCTCAACTCCAAGCATCACTGGTGAGCCTGGATAGACCCAAACCTGCAGTGAAGCCTGATGACCATGTGGACTGGCAGAAGCAAGCGCGTACGGCCCGCGTCCAATAACCAAACATGCGTCAGACCACACACAACAGGTGATCACAGCAGATACAAGAGCACTATACGGCCCTCATCCGGAATCAGCAACTCACCTAAACTGACGAAATGCTGCACACGCACCCTCAAGAGTCAAATGGCTGCCACCATGCGCAGGGCATGCCTACGTCAAAAACTTGGGCAATTGCGTTTCATGAAATCACCAAAATCTGCCAGGGGCCGTTCACGCTTGCACCACTCACAACGCACCTTCAACGCTTTGACTTTTTGAGCATACTCTGGCCCGGACAGCGAAGGATCAAGCGGCTGCGGCAACACAATGAAGTACATCTTGTGTTCTGACGCAGTGGCATTATGCAAATCCACTCTTTGCCGGCGCTTGGACCAATCCGTGATTTTCTTAGAAAGCTTGGTAGACACAGCAGCAGGAGTTGGTACATCACCAGCATCGTCAATGGCTTGCACACACCACTGGCGCTGAACTTCACTCTCATGGCCTCGCCGTTCTTCTCTACGGACAAATAGGGGTACCCTGCGTACCAGTGAGTCCCACTCATCCTCACGAGAGGGAACTAACAAGGGAGGTTTTTGCCGGAAGAAATCCGCATCAGTAGCACACGTTTCATCAGCACCAGCTACACGGAAAAAGATCTCAACAACTTCTGGATTGAGCAGCACTGGCCTCCACACCAGCCCAGAAGTGCGTGGCAAGCCCCAAGTTCGACGCAAGGACGGAACAGTCTGTGAGCCCACACCGATCGGCCAGGGTCGGTGGCTCACACACCGCCCCACAGCTGATGCAGCTGAGGAAAAGGCCCGGCCACGTTGCCCTAATTGTTGTGGGTGTTCCTGCCGAGGCATTTCAAGAAGAACACCTGTAGCAAGCTTGAAATGAATGGCAAGTTCGAGCCCGAGACGTCCTGACTGCGGCCTGCTTCAGGCCACTGCAGTACCATTCCAAGCAAGGTTTCACTCCAAGTTGGAATCTCATCCCAGCGTCACGGGAAGCACAGCCTGTAGCCCTTTTCAACAACAACCATGGCTTGGGAACATCACGCCATTCCATAGAAACAGCATCCCCCACGCGGGGGTTCAGACCCAACGCTCGTGAATAAACCTTCAGCGTTCGCTGGATGGCTCGCCCACGCTCCAGATCATGAGAGGGGGCAGGGCCTTCAACTGCATCCGGCGAGTCCTCATTCCCACCAACTGGGGGTGCTTTGCGTGAGTAGCGATGGCCACCAGTAGGGTGGCCATCCAACGCCTGCAACAACCTTTGCTGAAGTTGTCCCCAGCCTCGTACAACTTGCAGGTGATCCTGAACTGACTGCGGCAGTTGCTTTTCTTGATGAGTACGGGCAAGAAGAACGCAGACCATACACACTTGAATCCACATCGTATCCCGTACGAACTGGCCAAACTGTTGCACGTGAGCATTCCACTCAGCATGGCAATGTAAGGCAACCCCTTTCTTAGCCAACGCATCCGCAGCATTGTTACCTGCAACTTGTGACGGAGCCACCCCATGTTCATGACAATCGGCCTCGGAAAGATGAGATGGGATGAAAATGAAACGGACAGGGATGACCCGACAAGCTCTCCACAAACGGACCCAAAGATCACGGTGCTCCCACAAGCATGGGACCATAACACGATCAGATAGCATTTGCGCACGCTCAACCACCCACCATGAATCAGAGTGCACCACAATGGGCTGATGCCATGAAACTCCGTGTTCAGCAGCAAGGACTACTGCCAGAAGCTCGGCACGATTATTGGTTTGGAGCTCACCAGCGAGCGCGGTAAAGAAGTTCAGCGGCGAACCTTCTTCGAAGAAAATGCCAAGACCACTACGGACCAAGTCAGGAATGCCAGAGTGGATCGTGCTACCGTCGGTCCACACCAAAATTCCCTGCGGAGCTTTCCGGACATGATGCGCAGCAACCTCCCATGGAACGACAGCCGGCTGCTGCTGCGCCAGCCGATCCCACTCGTCACGAAGCCATGCTGGGCACATGGTGATTCCAGATGAGCGGGTCACCGGACGTTGACGCCGATCCCAGACCCCGGGACAGAACTTTTCCACAGCGGCACGCCTAATATAATCCCAAGCCGGGCATTCCCAAAACAAGAGCTGCCTGGTTTCATCAACATTGTTTTGACAATGGATGCACGTGGCATTGTCAACTAGGCGCATCTTTTCAAGCTCGTACCGAGAAGCGGTAGCCCCAGTAATGACCCCTTCAAGTGCGCCTAACATATATCGCGACAGTGAACTGCCGCAAATGCGAGCAAGCTGCCTCCTACAGTTTGGAGCTAAGCAATCAACGTCCTTCCGATTGAGACCCCCACGCCAAAGACATGTAGTTGCAAAAACGTTGATGCCAGCTTCGTCGTGGACGCCAGCCATGTCCTTGCGACCTATGCACTGCCACCTGCTCCGCCTAAGTTCTTCCCTTAGGCGACGCGCAAGATAAGACCCACTACCATGCCACAGGTACAGAACCCTTCCTTGGCGCAATCGAACGGTGTCAAAATCGACCCATTCAAGTTGCATGTCCTTCAACAAGTACGCCAAGTTACGAACCGGCCCACCCATGTGCGCACGATCAGCATGGTGACAGTGAGGCCAAAGGGCAGCCGCACGATCGTACAGATCTGCAGGCCATTTGCCAAACAGCCTACGCAGGCCCATGACAGTTTGGAATGCGACAGCGTGGAACGGGTCAATCAAATGCCCTTTGCGCAGCAGAGTCAACAGAACCTCCGGGTTGCGCTGTTGACGCGTTTTGGTCCACACCGTGGATGTGACTGCAGCACGGGTCCTTTCCATAGCTTTGACGGCAGGGCGGCCAATTTCACAGCCGTAGAGAAACTGTTTCATGGCTTTTGTAGCAGCATACCTCCCAGCAGCGTGATGAGACACCCCAACTGAGCGAATGCGCTGTAATGCGTCAGTACACACCTGAGCCCGTTCTTCACCAACCACTACACGCCTAAGTTTGCCACCAACAACCTGACGCCCAACAACCTTTGCCTGCGCACGTAAGTGGCGGCGGCGATAGTTTTCCCCAAGGATGGCCGGGGAACTACGGCAAACGATTTACCGCCATTAGTTTCTTGGCCACTCAGACGGTCGAAGAGTTGAACTTCTTTCCATGCAGCAGTGGCCGCTTCGACATTGTCAGAGGCGAAACTTACACGGCTGTCATCAACATAGGCACGTGGCAGAAGGCCAAGTTTAGAATTCCTACGGCACCAAACACCCATCAAGACATGAATCATGGCAACCGAGAGGAACACGGGGAGCTGTCACCGTCGGTTCACGGCTTCGCGCAAGTTCTGCCTTACGAATGCTTTGGCTGTAGCGCAATCTGACCATGGCAACTCGAGCTGATTCACGAAGCGCTATGCGCTGAGTCAGGTTGGGCTCCGAGTCGATGAGGCCATGTTCCGCCAGCCGGCCGGCAAAGTTGTTCAGAACCGAACCTTGGTTGGCAGGCTGTCGCCCCGTCACTGCTTGTAGAGGAGAGACACCTTCGGAGTTGAGGTCGGAGTTGTATGCTGAGCAAGCTTCGCCAACAACCAAGCACATAGCAGCATGACCAATCACTGTTTGATCCACCACACAGGAGGCAATGAGGCTCTTTAGAATTCCCCCACTTCTCTCCGCTACTCCGTTTTGCCAGGGCGCTTGTACAGCTGAATGCCACAGCATGACGCTATGACTGCTGCACCAGACTTGCATCTCCTCAGATATAAATTCGCGACCCTGGTCAGCCACGATCGTCCTTGGTGCACCCAGGATGGGCAGCCACATCTCCGACCACCGAAGCCGTGGATCGGTCAGGACACAGCGTCAGCCCCAAAGCGTCGTCGGCCATCAGCAGATCAACGTAAATCTGTTCACCGACAGCACGGGGAGGAGGCAGGCCTGCAACGCGGGCGACTCTTTGGAGCTTTCCGTTCCAGACACACATCGCAACGAAGCTCACGAGCTGCCTGAACTGCTGTTGGGGGAGCGCCTGACAAGAGCAACGCTCTCGCCAATCGCTTTGGCGGTCTGTGCCCCGTTGCCTCGTGAACCCGCCGCACTGCTGCTCGCACCGCCGCAGTGACCTCTCCCTTGAAGGGCTCGCCGAGGTCCGCGTCCGAATCCGAATCGTATTCGCCCGCGTCCTCCACCAACACTTCATGATGAAAGTCCACCGCAGCGTGGCCACTCACAACCTCGAAGCACTCACACACCTTCACCTCACGGTCCGCCATCGCCGCCTCGAAGTCGAACTCGGCCTCAAAAGCGACAACCAGCTTCTCCGCAAACTTTCTGGGGTAGTGCCCCGCAGCAGTGGTAATGGCGGAGCCGCCCATGGTAGGCTCATGTTGGTGCTTTCCAGCGCACCGGCAACCAAGCAACGCTGACACCACCGACTGGCTGGAGGTCAAAATCTTGGTTGGCTTCTTACGTCGCAGCCCGATCGGTCCACGAAGGTCAAACCAGCACATGTCAATCGTAATCTCTCGAGTCCTCGGATCATTCCGCAGCCCAAGCAGCGAGGGAGTCTTCTAAACGAGACTGCCGAGGGGATTCTCAATCACAAAGCGCCGCCTGGAATCCAGCTGCAACCTGGCCAACCGGCAAGCAAATCGAACCAATGCAAGGGCTTTCAAACGTCGTTGGGCCACATTCTCAGGGACGCCGCTCAAGTTTTGTAACGTCGACCACGCACCGCAAGGAAAGGCTATGACAAGGAAGTACGGCCTCTCCTTTTTGACCAGCTCAAGGGCCGCCTGCCTATGAGCCCGCAACTCAAAGCGCCACCCGCGGTCGAGCGTCATCGTGGTGCCCGTCGTGTGTCCTTGAAGACCTGGCCGCCCTGACCACCGGCTCCGTATCGGAATACACCTCCGAGCAAACCACCGGGATCTCCATGACAAAGGCATCGTGGACCCCCCTCAAATAGAGCTCCTTGCGCTCATCGTCCATCGTCTTTCGAACCTGCTTCGGCGAACACGAGATGAGGTCTTGGTCTTGTCGATGCCGCTCCCACGCCTGGCTCAGCAAAAGCCTTTGTCCGGGCTTCAGTCGTCCAGCACTCCCTTGCTCTCAATCCGGTGATCCAACACGGGCTCCCACTCGCCCGACTCCTCCGCCATGATGCTGTCCTCGGACAACTCCAGAGGTTGCGCCAGAGGCGGCGCTGCCTGCATCTGCATCATGCGGTGCAAAACCTGAGTGAACATGGTCTGGAACCGCTCGTCCATCGCCGCCATTCTCGCGTCGACCACCTGCAGGATGTTCTCGGGACTTGACGTCGGAGGAGACATTGACATGGAGGCATTCTTGCTCGCGGGCACTTCGGGCGTTCCCGCCACCGGTCCTTGAGATCTCAACGGCATACTCCCGAACGAGGTTGGGGTCAATGTCGCAGCCGCAGTGCTCGATGAGGGACCCGAGGAAGTTGACGAGGTAGTCGTAGACTTCATATGCTCCGTGGCCTGCTCGTAAGACACCTGTTTGGCATAGCGCTGCCGCCACCGGCTTCAACTTGTCCCGAATCTTGGCGACCGTCTAATTCTCGCTGACCTCCGTACGCAGAAGCTGGGCCAGCTTGACCAGGTCGCCCTTGACAAGCGTTGGTAACCCGCCTCTCGGTCCCAGCAGCGTACCTTGAGACGGTCCTTCTCTATGGCCAGCTTCTCGGCCTCCTCCTTCAAGGCAGCACTCTTGAGTTGCGTCATCCTTCCAGGGCGTTGTGGGGCCATCAGCATGCCAGCCAAATTTAAATCGGATCCTCGCGGAAGGCCAAAGAAGCCCCACTCCTCCCCTGCCCCAAGCCAGCAGGCTCAAATTGCTGGCAGTGAACGAGGCTCGGACCAACCACTTCCGGGGGTAGCATCGCGACTCGATCATCGCTTCGGCTTGCGTGCGCCATTGAGCCACAGAAGACACCGAAGGATAAGGCCATGGCAAGAATCGAAGCCCGGGCTGCCTTACGAACCAGAGAAGCACACCTTTGTAGCTCCACCTTGCGCGGTGCCAAAGACGCAACACCACGCGACGCCACCTTGTCATGAACTTCACGGAGAACTCGGCAACAACGTCACCGTACATGTTGCTTTGAGCCAAGACCGCCAGAACGGAGTGAAAGTCATAGGCAAGGCGTCCAAGTTCAAGGCTCGCTTCCGTCATGTTGCGGCTGTTACCCTCAAGCTTGGCATCAGCAGACTGGGCGCGTGAACGAACTTGCATAAGACGGCTACAGTCAAGAATCACCTCCAGCACCCCGTCCGGCCCCAGCCTCCGTCGCCTCCCTTTTCCAAGCTCAGGCCACGCATCCGGGATCAGTCGCAGCGCCAGGTGTCCAGCAGCAAGTTGTTCAAGCTGAGTGACCGCATCCCCGAAGATCTTGCACACAAGCATCTTGGCCAAGAAATCCAGGACTCCTTCCAGCCCGTCAAGCACGTCTCGGCCCAGCAGCAAGCCCGCCAGAGATCACTCCAGCCAAGCTTGACCTGCGCAGGTCCTGTTGCAAGCAGTGTCCAGGGCTCCAACCGCAGATTTGTCCATGGCGAACGTCGTGGCCAGAACCTCGCTGGAAGACGCCGTAGAAGCCGCCGACAAGGACCACGAAGAAACGGCCATCATCACCTCATTCTCAAGGTTGTCCTTTTCCAGTTGCGCGGCTGGCCTCTGCCAAACGTACTTGTCGCGCCTTCGGCTTCGGCCGCGCCAATCCAGCGCCCGGACGCTTCGCCTGCCCAATGTCCTCCTTGGCCGCAATCGTAACAGACGCGCTTGCCCGACGCCTTCTTCGCCGCCACGGCCGCCGAGCTCGTCCGGGCCTTCGGTTTAGCCGACGCCGAGGTGGTAGACGATCAAGTAGTCGACCGGCCACGGTATCCACGATCACGCCGCACCTCAGCCAGTTTGGATCTCGCTTCTCGCATGCTCACCAAGGCCTCCGCTGATGCTTCAATCCCACTCTCCAGGGCTTCCAGGTGAGAAGGGTCAACTCCTTCAGCTTCAGCCTCCGCGATCTCGCCCGCAAGGTTCTCCACCTCAGCTTGCAGAACCTCCTCCAAAGTAGTTTCGCCCTCGCCGGTGTCCTCTTGAGTCTCGCCATCCTCTCGGGCTCGTCCGCTTGATCTTCATCGGCTGTCTCCGTCGCGGAAAGTTAAAGGAAGATCGCGCTGCCGAACTCTGAGAAGCCGCCGCCGAGGGACGCCTGAAGGAAGTCGATGTCGTCGAAGCCGCCGCCGAGGGAGCCGTAGACGCCGAGGAGAAAACCTTCCTGATGGTGAGCTTGCCGCCGCCCCGTTCGGTCGAAGCGCTTGAAGAGAGGATCTTGAGAGCGAAGGTCACGAAACAGCCGCAGGCACTCTGACTCAATGACGGTGTACGATTCCGAGCCTTGAAGAGCAGTATCCAAGAGCTGCTTGCGAAGGGCAGCCAGTCCAAGCTTCTCCTTGAAGAA